ATACTTTCTATTTTTGCTTTTTGTGTGGATTGCATCCAGTGTAAAAGTACATATATTTGCTGTTCTTTTATCTATTGTTTGGTTTCAGGCATCTTGAGAGTGGACAAAGAGTGCAAGTGGTTGTTGGTCCTTGGTCTCTTCATGCAGTTCTCTTACCCCGAGGTAGTGAAGTGGGAAGAAATCAACCAAGTGCCGAGAAGCAGTGGGAGGAATGGAGGGAATTCGTTGCCCCACTGGTGCGGGACATTGACGACACCGAAGAGGAAAACCAGGTAACTTTTTTCGAATAGCCATAGTTTTTCATCTAACTTCTTTCTTCTGTTCTCTAAAAGCCACTGATTTCACCAAATTCCATCGATCCATGATTTTAGGAGGAAGGAATTCCGCGAATGGTTCCCGTAGAAATTGACGGTATTCGAATGTTATACCCATCCTGCTACGTTTGCGTAACTATGGACGATGATGCTGCATGTTCAAAAGATGAGCCAAATGTTCCTGCAATGACTCCAGATGAACTCATAGGTTAGTAATCTACGGCATTATAATGGAATATCATTTCTGATGCTCAAAATGTAAGCCATAAAATGCGATGTTGCAGCACCCGATAATGGACGTCGCAATCAACTGCTTGTTTCCAACGCAAATGGACACTCTTACATGCAAGGGGTATTGCAGAATGCTTATCTCGCTCCATCTCGTCCACAGCCTCCTGTTCCTCCACCTCAAGTTGGACCGTTCCAAGCACCATTTCCTCCGCCATCAGACGATGAAACAAGGTAAAATTTCAGTCCTTCGGCGCTTATTCATTGTTTCATTGATAGCTACTCGACTTTTCTACAGAAAGTACTTCCATCGGGATTTTACTCAATTACGCTGTTTCAGATGGAATTTTGTGGACTTGAGCAAAAGTGATTCCTGTTCTTGCGACAATTGTACGCGACAACCTTCTGCGGAGTACCTGGCCTCGCTTGAACGAGAACCCGTAATAGATTGCCCTCTTGCGGCTCCTATAAAAGTTGCAGCGAGACCTGGAATGGTGAAAACCAATCCGCTCTATACGGTTATGAAAAGGCAGAGTAAGCGTCGTACCAAGTGAGTCAAATTTCTTTTTCAGTGGGAATACGTAAATCCTTTTTTGCACCATTTGTTTTAGACATTCTTATCATCGCCGGTTTCCCTTGAATTCTGATCCGGTAGAAGAGAGTAATTCTCCGAGCGAATCTGTAGGCAGCGAGCAAGACTCTTCGGATGACGATATCGGGGGCATACCTGCATGGGCTGATACCAACAAACAGAGCCTGGTCACTGGCATTTACTGCAGCGCCGACGACGCGAGGCTAGTCAATCGCTTTCCAGCAACTTATATGAATTCAGCTAAAGATATGATTTCAGTTACCATTTCGGCGTTGCAACGCCTTGCAATTCTAGTGATGATGAGAATCTTGCCTGTAGTCCGTTCACACCGATCAAGGTAACCAACTTCGGTTTTTGGTAAATTCACAGATGGAAGTCCAAGCTTTTAGGTGGTGTCACCTTGCACCAACTGTGCTTGGCCGAGCGCACCAGCAGATCAAATTCCTGAATCAGTTTTTAACCAGATTTTCCAGCCCAGCAGGTCAGTTTTACAAAGATATAGAATTCCCTCTCTAGCTTTGTTATCCTTCGCCAGTCCAGAGTATATTTGCATCCTATTGAAGCACCTAATATCAGTTTTTTTTATCAACCCAAGGATATGATTGTTGTATGATATAAAGCTATAAATTGATGGGTACAATGTTATACGTCGAACTCGTGTTCCCTAATTTTACGTGCGGGGCTTCCTTTTAGTCTGTATATGTTGTGAGAGGCAGCTGTCAGGTCTTGCAAAATTATTCAATTCTGTTTAGCGCTCTTCTTGCATTCTATTGATTTATGTAAATTTGGCGAGAATAGTTGCCTCTCACTTTTCATTCATTATGGATTGATTAATGAGTTTCTCTTTTTGCATCATGCACACTGAACTATTTCACGAGCTTATCCATAAGGAGTTTTAGCACGTCTCGTGTTCCTTCGACCGCAAGTCAAGAGGAGCGACAACGTGACTACAACTGCTACTATAACCCCACAATGCGGGAAGATCCTTACTATATGTCCTATCACAGTAGAAGGACAGGTGAAAAGCGTCGCTCCAACTATCCTCCTACCATAAAACTACCAGCAAGCCCTGAACAACCGGGAAGTCAAGAAACCGTAAGTCTCAAATTACGATCGTCTCTTTCACTTCGCTCTTATTTACCATTATACTTTGGTAATGGTATACATACACATTATGATGATATACATGCTGCATTTTAGATTCCCGCCACAACATCACCGCCTCCTGAAATGGATGAACATCGGAGGCGTGCCCCAGAAGCAGACCCATCTATCACTATGACTAGAGCGGTCACCGATTTGGATATAAAGAATAGAGTAAGCTATCTGAAGCAATATCTGAGGGTATGCTTTTTATTACGAACTTTCAAGGCGGATGTGCAAGTCCCCGTCAAAAAACGAACGAGAAGGAAAGAGCGAAAGGTAGAATGGCCCGACTTGGATTCGCTAGACATGGCTCTACTTTCTACGACTATCGGGGTAATTATAGTTAATTTTTTCGCTTGTACTAGACAGTTTCTCTCAAAGGCATGAATCTCTCAACACTTTTAGGAGGAGATGGAGTCTAGAGTCTCACCTTATGCTGGTCGCATTACTCCTACATATGAGAGCGACTCGGAACCAGAATTGGAGGAACAGTCTTCGTCTTCTGATGGTGACGAGACGAGAGCTATAGGTTCCTATTTAGTTCTCTATCTACCAACTAATATTTAAAAAACTTCCTGAGTAATACTTATTCAGGCGAAGGACCATCAGGGCTGACCACTTCACCTGGTTTCTCGGAGGTTCACATTATGCGATCTTCTGAAGAAGCGATGGAAGTTGATGAGGCCGCAGCTGGGGGTCCTACTGACAGCATGAATTTGCTATCACCTCCTGCAAGCAACGAGAGACCGGATGGCTGTGCTACTGTATGTTACGAATCGATCTAGTGGTCTATGCAGCAAAAGTCTCAGTTGTAATGCTTACTCTTTAGATGTCTATAAACTATGGTGCATGGCCAAGAATAGGAGGACCTCCGTCATGTGGTGAACCCTCAATGAACCACATCTATCCAACGCCTCCGAGTGTTCAGTCTGAAGCACAGCAATTTAGTCCTGCACCAATGTTACCACCGCATCAACAACATCCAATGCAACATCAGCATACGAATGTCGCGTTGATGCAGCACGTATGTTCCTGGAGTCATTCACTTGTTTCCACTTCTTATTACATTCAAACTGAATTTCCCATCTGGAGCGAATTTATGATCTGATTTGTTTATATACGCAGACTTTTTTGATTTATTTCTCCTCCCTATGTCGAGTTTATTCTAGGCGAATGTGATGGATACTAGTAATTATACGCCGTCTGGACTTCAGCAACCGTCAACACAGCAGCGAGTTCCACCTTCGCAGACTGCGGAATCGAAACCAGGTCTGAAGGAGGTGAAGGAAGAAGTTACTGAAGAGCAAAATGATCCCGAAGACGACATCATTGATCTTGTTCCTATGGATAGTAAAATGGTATCTCAAATTTCATTGTTTTTCTCCGAGCCAATTTCTAGTAATTTCTTCGATTGTAGTAAAGTTATACATTTTAGGGCAAGCTTCTTAAACGAATCGAACTGCTTCCGGTGAGCGGTCATCTCCGGAAGAGAATCGTCCCATCATCAACGCGATTCAGTCCAGCTGCAGACGTTAGAGTATTGTGCGCCACTCTATCGAGTCGCAGAACAGCTTTGCATATGCCTCCCGACTACCAGAAACTCGTACGACTAATGGAGAAGCGTGTTCCAAAACATTCGGAATCGCTCTATACTTCACAGTTTCCGTCATGTATTCCATCTGTAGCTTCATCCCACAGTGCTCCAGTAACTGTTACATCATTCCCTAATGCGAACAATTATAAACCTACCTTTGGACCGATACCTGGTGGTATGGCCTCGAATCCTCCCCATATGCAGATGCCACCAATGCAACCTCCACAATCACATCACATTCAGCAGTTCCCTGCATCTCAGGTGAGTGTGTCAAATGTGGAGAGCGGAGACACTACGAAAGTATAAGTTAAAATACATATTTTAGATTCGTACTCCACCAATGATGGGTGGTCGAATGGGAACACCAGTAGGAACAGCTCCTGGGCCCATTGGGCCGCCTTACGCTCCTTCATCTGGACCCTATGGTGCAATGATGCCTCCACCTAATTCAGTTCAGCAACTGAACAATTTCGTTCATGGGCCAATGTTCAATGGCGGAAATGGACAGATGAATCCTCATCATCCTATGGGAAACATGTCGATGGGGCAGCCCATGGGTCCAATGTATGCAAGCGGCCCGGGACAGGTTGGTTTTTCAATAAAGATTATCTAGATCAATTCGTCATTGATTTGTGAACTATCAGATGCCGATGATGCCATCCTGTCCTACGAGTGGCTACGGAGTACCACCTATGATGGGTGGTTATGGCCCTTCAGCACCAAACATGATGGGTCCACCACATCCGAACGCACCGCCAGCATATCCTGGAGCTCCTGGTCCTCCTCCTGCTTATAATTCAATGAATCAGATGCAAGCAATGCAACCTCCGCACATGCGACAGATGCAAATGATGCAGCAGGTTAGGACCTCTCCGATGATTGTAGTTCTTAAGCGTATCTGCACAATATTTGTGAGAATGATACTAGTTTTGAAAAAAAAAGATACAACGAAGAAGAGTTATCAGCCCTGAATCGCAATCGCGGTTGAAGTTTGCCGTAGTGTTGGCTCACAGGTACCATCTGTCATTTTAGTCGGAGCGTACAATACATACAGATAAAAACACCTATATGTTATTCAAACATCTCAGTTTTCCTTATGCTCATGGCTCGATGTTTATTATAGATGATGCCTTCACAAACACCAATGCCCATGATGAACTCATACGGTAACAGTGGTCCGACGAATGGTAACATGCAGTTCGCTCCTCCTCCCGCAAATCGTGAAGTCATTGTACCATTTGCTGAGGGTGCCAGTGTAGTTTTGGCTATTATATTGCAGGTATTCATTTACTGAATTTTTGCCCTTTTATTCGAAAACAACTCTCTAAGATAAGGCTCGCTGAATGAAATTCTGCTAAACTTTGCGCGTCTTCTAGAGGTATCTTCTTTCAGGACACAATTCTCGATCTTCACTTCGATTCTGTGTTTGATGCATGCCCAATCTGCTCGTGTAATACCTCAATTCGTGCGAGGTATTAATGTTTTGCTACTTTTACAATCGTTTTTTTAGTGATTTTGAGTTTTGTTAGTTCTCGTTTTGATTCTACTTCTTTACTGTTGTAGAGAGCTGGGATTGTACATTACTCCACCGGATGTGCTACGGATGCCTGCGCATGTTCAACAGGCGCAGATCGGCTCTTGGAGTGGATTCGCACTGGAACAAGCCAACACGTGCACATGTGGATTTAGGTGAGTTGTCTGTGATTTCGTTTGCGTCAATTTGCGTCAATAGGTTCTCTTTTCCATGTTGTTCCAAGTGGACGGCCTTCAAATTTGCTTTGGATTGCAAGGAATGTTTCAGTGCCGTGCGCCACCGCTATCTTTCACTTTGTTCTGGCTTGTTCCCCGAAGATTCTCGAGAGGCGACTGCTATTGAACATTCCGTCGCTCCGGTGAATGGTCTCGGTACAGATGTAGGTCTGCAAGCTAGCAGTCAAATCTGGTAAATTTTCTTTTTACAGTCTTTTCCTTTATTCAGAAAATAGGAAGTTTGAGGCAAAGCTCCCAAGTACATTTATTCAGGTTCGACTCCACTAGTTCCACTGATGTCAATATGTTGGATTTGTTGCGGATCATGTGTCAACAGCATCACATGGGGCGAATGGTTCATCAAATTGCACAATTCGTTGAACAAGCAGATAAGGCCATAAAGGTACTTGGCTAGTTTCGTTTTTGTACTTACAGAAGAATCATTTCAAGCGTTTCAGCCACAAGAAGTCGGATTCGATGTGACAAGTAATGCAGAGTACGTTTTATCGCAAGTGGATGCAACTGAGCTCATGTTAATTGGAAATTCGGCGGCTGAAATGTCAAGAAGTGGGTCTATTTTGTTTTCGTTTCGTCTTTTCAAAGTTTTTTCTGTTGTTACTCATGGAAATGGGTTTTTGTTAATTGTAAATGAAGTGAGAGTTTGCCAAAATATGATAAACTTCACTTCAGTCAGTGGAAACCGTTCACGAAATACGAATCAACCGATCCTGCAATTTTTCCATCCGTGGGGACTGCAGGTTGTGAACGTTTAACATATAAATAGACTTCTAGATTACGATAGTAAACTGTAGAACGCAATGCAAAAATGTGGTCACTCTCAGGTTGCAAATGAGGTTCGAGATCCACGAGAAGCTGAGTGGCGAGGGCTTTTATCAGAGATCGGTCCTGTTCTTGAGAGAGCGATGCGAATTGTTCGGTTGGTTAAAGTGAACTTCGGTCTGGCAAGCTGGTGTCTTCCTATTTTGCTTTTGGTTGCAAGTTTTCTTCAGATGCATGCATAGTGCGCCTGGAAATATAGTGGAGGGACCGTTGACGTGGCGAGCTTTGACCAGCAAAAGCCTTCCAAAATCGTCTGCTCCGACTCATGATGACGATATCAGCTTACCGGAACCAATTCCCTACATTAACGTCGCTGCTGAGAAGGATGCCATTAGAGCTGCCCCTCATGTGAGTGATTTAATTTTTTAGCAATTTCCATCTTGGATCATCGTTGGCTCGATTTTTTGTTTTTGTCATCTTATTCTGATCCTAAACGATGCTCTTTTTTCAGGTGGTACGTCACTGGGAACACCTCTCTCTTGGTCCAATCGATCAGCCCAAGGATGTGCTTTACCTAGTTGTTGTTCCTGATAATCCCGACATATGCAATTTAGCAGTGAAGTACTTGGAGCAGTTGAGCCAGTAAGTAGAACACGGTTAACTTTGACTTCCCTTCCGTTATTCTCTATGGTTAATTCACCGAGCTGCTTGAAGGATGTATGAACGCATGCGACTCGGCCGCCACATTGCCATGCCTACCGGCGTAGATAGTCGTGACGGATGTGTGCGTGTTGGGTGCCGTACTCAGACTGGCAAATATCCAACAGAAACCACAACACTTGATTTTTTGAATCTTGTGGGAAGATACGTGGACAATAAGGCCTTCATGACAAAACTCAGAGTACGTTCATCTTCGTTCCTGTGTCTTATGCTCGTTGAACTATGCAATTTCTATTTATTTTTCTTATTTTCTCGAATTCTTCTTGATTCAGCTCTTCACGCAACAAATGGAAGAGAACGTCCTCCAGTTGCTATCAGAAAGGGATGATATTTTCGAAAGAGCAACCTACCGAGAGACACTGGCCTTAGATTGGCGAGCCAAAAGAGCTGCGGCCGCTGCTGTGGCGTTAGCCGTTGAGCAGCGTATGGCTGAAAGTATGTTCAGTTTTTGTTCTCTCAATTGTAGATCTCTGCTCTCCAACTAAACTTACTTCATGATGCCTCATTTAGTGTTCGTTTATCTTACAGATTCTGCTGAGCAAGGCGCTTCCGTTGCTGCACCAGAGCAACCTCCTGCAGAACCTCCTCTTGAACCGGAAGATATCCCAGTCGATGAACCGGGTACTCTACCTCATGTCATTGTGATCTATGTGGTACGTAATCAGCTCTTCTTAATTTTGTTCTGGAATACTTCTCAGCTTGTCGAACAAGAATTTTTTCAGTTGAATCCATTCACATGGGGAACGGAATTCCGAAGCGCTTTGTTCACTCGAGTTGCAACACTGGCAGTAATGCGAGCGTTCAATACTGTTTGTCTGCGACTACCAGCTAACAGGCGCCCGCAGTTGCAGTTAGAAATTATACCAATGGAACAGGTAAATACGCCCAAAGCTCTACTCAGGGGGGAATTGTGTTTATTCCATTCGTGATAGGTTTGATCGTTGTTAAAAAGAACATGTTGTATTACAGGTCACTGATCTACTCGGGTGCTTGCCAGATTACACAAATGATAATGGGTCGTCACAGTCAATGTTTGAGAATAGTGGTGAGTTTTTCGCTGGTTTTTGGTGGTTGTTATATTTTTGGAGAATAATCATCTAAGAGAAGAAAAGGGATTCTTTTTGGTACGTCTCGATACTCGCTTGATCTTTCTCATCTCTAGACATCCAACTGATTTTCCCTTTTTTTCTGCGACGACTTCTACTAAGTTGATGCAAAAGTCTTAGATGTGTCTCAAGTCTTTTGCATAAGCCTAATATTTTCTGCGATTCCTGGGGTTATTTCATGCGAAGTAGCTGAAGAAAGTGGTAATTGAATTAAATCATCATTGTTCTTTGAACGATAATTAGCCGTGGCTAAATTTGTTGTCAGTTCTCATTGATATTTCCGAGCAATTGTTTCACATTTGGAATAAGTATTCTAACAAAATAAAATTCAGGTGGCAGTGAGCGTGAACAAGTCGAGTGCGTAGCCGTCGAATCATTAAGGGTTCGTTTATTTTGTCCATTCAATGTGAATATAAGAAGCAGCGCGGAGATTTCAACTCTTCCACTCTGAATGTTTCTACTTGATGTTGCATGTAGAAAAATGAATGAGCAATGGCATTAAAAGCACATTTCTGCTAATAGTAAATTTTCAGAACACCGTACTCTCTGTGTACACCCAGCCGAGAGTTCTAACGGCGGACTGCATCAAGAGCGTTCAAGCAAGGTGTATGACAAAGTTCGGTCCTGGAAGCAGTCTATTAGACTCGCTGGATGAATGGGAGAGAAGTGGTACAACTGTGTTCTACAAAGTAAGCTTACTTTGCGGTCAATTCTATATTCTTTGCTGATCATGAAATTTCCAGGTCCCATCAAACGCTTACCACTTGGCACCTCCTCCCCTGCTCTATCAGAAGCATGAAAATGGCAGAATAATTCAATCGTCTCCAGAAGAGCAGGTAATACTTATGCGACATGCAAACAATTCGCTCAATCATAAACCTGATCGCTCAGTCATAAACCTGAATTGTATAGGTACTGTATGTAACTTACTGTGTAATTGGATCCGATTGGCTATGTGTTGCTGTCACCGATTCACTTGGCCGGCTCAATGACAATTGCTTAATCAATCTGCGCACGAGACACGATCATCAGTATGTTGTCGCCTTTTGTCACACGTTGGTGTCGGACTGGTAAAATTCATTATACAAGTTCAGTATCTACAAGTATCGTCAACAAACTCAAATACTTGACGCAATGGGGCGATTGTGGACGTACATACTCGGCGTGCTGTCAATGGAGACACGTAATTGGAGGCTTGTCATTGGTCGGCTGGGACGAATCGGTCATGGCGAATTCAAAGGTATGACGTTCCGCTATTATTTTCTTCCGGTTGCGGGCATCACTGTGCTATTTCCAACTGCGAAGTTCCAACTCAATGGCAACAATGGAATTTTCAGCGTGGACATATCTTCTCAACAAAACGGCTCTCAAACGTCATTCCGCTCGTCTTAGGGAAGTGTGTACTGCATGTGCGCAGATGCCTGGTTGTACGGGTACACCAAGTATATTATCAGCTTGTCTTGTTTCCACAGAACCAGAGCCTTATCTGCGTATGTTCCCTGGCTTCAGTCTCAATGATGCGTACAGGTACTATTTTGAATACAGTTGAGTTTTTTGTGACATGCCGTCATTTGAAAATCTCCTTTAGCAAGAAAACTCGGTCAACACTGCCCGATGATACGAATGTTACGCACATCATGGTCTTCCCGACGAGTGCGGATATTCAGGTTGATTTATCTTGATATTCTGATAGCGCAATGACTCAGTTGCATATAATTTCGTGGTTTGCTCGTTTTAAGCTTAAATTTACTGTTTCCAGTTGGGTTCTGCTGATCAACATGCTGTCGGGGAAGATGACTGGGACTTTTCGGACATGGATATCCCTCAGGACGGAAACGACCTCGGAGACGATTTTCTATCCAGTATTTGTATGGTCAGCTATTTGAAACTTCGTTACTCGAAATTCCTGTAAACTTCTTATTATGCACAATTTTTCCTTCTCTTGGGCTTCGATTGCAAATGTGCTCAAAAAAGGATGTGGTGTAAGAACTCTCCCTTTTTTCAGGACAACTTAGGCCCGCCGCAACCAAGTGCTAGTTTCCGAAACGCAGGGAATTCGTTCTTCTCTGAAAATACAGCAGGTAAAGTTCTGAAAGAGCTCTATATGGCTTTTATGAGATCGCCGCTTACTTCTCAATATATTTCTCTTGTCAAGAAGTAACGGATAACCAAAGTAAATCTGATTTCCCATTAAAAGCTTACGTCTTTGCGTTCACTTTAAGATTAAGTATATATTCTTCTAATACCCTAGAACAGTTACCGATAATGTTCCCTTAAGGTGGCCTTAGCAATTTTACCGTTTTGTATGCGCAAGCGTTAATGATTCGATTCTGAAATGGCTTGAAAAAGAGCTCGGAAAAATTGGAAGATGGGATGTCGAGAAAAATTTGAAGGTGAATACATAACATCCATTGCAGACGTTTCAATGGAAAACCAGCCACTCGCAACTGGGTTCTACATCTCTACTGCCCCTGCAGCGGACGTTCCAGATTGGTTTTGGGCAAGTTGTCCTGGTGCGAAGAACCGTACACCGGTACATCTCAAATCGTCGCTTCACATTAATGTCCCTCTAGTTCATCAGGTTCGTTTTTATGTACTTCTGTCGGTCTGCGTCTCTCATTGAGAAATTCTTTTCTTGCAGGGAGACGAGTTTCTGCAAGGAAAAGCAACTACTGGTGATAAGCAAGAAAAAGAGAGTGCACATCCTCTGGATAGTACACGAACGGATGAGGTGTTGAGGTGGGAGAGTTTAGCAAACTATTTCAATGCGATTTCAAATACGGCTTTATGGGCATTTTTAAGGCATGTTTTGGAAACATACAATGCTCTCTCTTGGCTAAATATCGACGTTGTATCAGGAGAGCGGCGAAGTTGCCTTCCTATTCATATGCAAGCGCTCACTCGATTATATCACTCGGTCGCGAGACTCATTATGTAACTTATGTAACTCGCCCTATTTAAGTAATGTCGTTTTGCTCTGAGATATTTTACGGTGTCTTTCAAAAGCTCGCTCTAGTATGTGCTGAGTTCAACACCACTTAGACTGTTTCTCACATAGGTGTGCTCTATGGACCCGGTTGTACAGATACGGTACTAATCTACACGATATTTGCACAGTTTTTGATAATTTTTATCTTTCGGCTTACTGCTACATATATGCATGCTGCTTTCCTAGGCTGTGAGCAATGCTCTTTCTTTATTACTTTCACCTTTTTTTTGATTTTGTATAACGATCTCGGTCATCTTAATGAGTATCCGAGAACGAGAAACTGTAACAGTTTCTGTATAGTGGTCGAGTTCTCGTTCATTTACGTTGTAATGTTGTCACTGACCGTGCTGAGGACTTTGTCCGAAAGTAATCTGGACATATCAGCTTCCCTTGTACCAGTTTCTCTTCCCGTATGTCTCTGTCTCCTGTCAATCTAGCTCTCCATTTCTCACGCTCTGCTCGGTTACGGTACAAATCATTCACTGTTTTTTCTTAGTTTGGTATCGACGGGTTCGTCTTATAAATATTTGTCTTACGTAGGTGCTTTTACACTGATTGTAACGCTAAGATAATATGCTGTTGTATATTTTGCATAAGATGATGGCGGTACTGTATCTGTGATACTGGTACTGCACTGGGGTGCCCGAAGTCCGTGATCTGTCAGTCTTGAAGACGTGACATTCATATGATAGCAGGTTTTGTTTAGGTCATTTGCTTATTTGTTCGTGTTTTCGATGTTCTTCGTAATATTCTATCATGAGAGCTAATGAAGAGTAATATTCTTGTGAGTTATTTTCTTTTGACAACTTTGTCGTTAGTGTTCTCACAATCCGTTTACTGCTTTTGGACGCCTATCAGGTCAATAATTATGTAACAAAATCCCTTTAAAACAGCAATGCTGATGTAAATACGTTGCCTAGCGAACTAACGAACCTGTTAGTAGGCGCTCCAAGCAGGTGCCAGAAACCCTTGGAAGAACTCATTCACTCATTCCCGAGCATCCCAATGTCGGATAGGACCGTTCATAGTTGTTCGTTCAACGTTGCGCAAGGCTGCCATAATAGGCTCCCCAAACGAAGAAGACTAAGGTAGCGATCTGAACGTTCAACGCGCGAAGCCTGCATGGGAGGCATATGTCGAAGATCTGACGATGCAAGCAAGATCACCGCCCGACCGGACATCACGAAGGCTTCGCCCTTTGTCCGCATTTTCGGGGCTGGTTAAGAAGCATGCCTTGGAGTATGCGGCAGCAGAAGCATCGGTGGATCGGTGGTGTAGGTGGCCTCGTCAATACACACACCAAATTGGACGTCTGCGATTGCGAAACGTAGTTCAACTCTAACATTCTTTGTAGCCTATGCGTCAACATCATCCAACGACGAACAAGTGCTAGGATTCTATACCTGGAAAGCCACGACACTTTGGGCGGCGACTACGAACGGAAAGGAGGTCCCAGCGGTAGCGGAGCCAAGCCCGTCCTTACCTACTGTGATTTCACACACATTTCATTAACCGTCGTCTCCCTACGGGGCCTAACTACCTAGAGGGCCTTGGTCGTTTCCCTACGCATAAAAAAATTCAAAAATAAAAAAACACAAATGACAGAACACTGAGCTACACCGGGGCTACGGAGATACGAAGGGGAAGGGGGAGCTACGTGATGGCGACCGAAATACCTTGACTGGTGGCAGCGGCTCGACACGGTTGACGAAGACTACGTGGTTGACTGATGGCGACAACTTGACGGTTGTCTTGACGAGAAGGACAGCTTCAGACAACCTCGGGTTCTTTTACTCTGTGTGAGTTTTGCCTCACACCTACGGGGTCACCTTGTGCGAGGGGGAGATTTTCTTACTCGCCGATCACAAAGGAGCCCACGAGTTAGTCAGAAGACAAAATTTCAACCCGGGTCGAGCGAAAGGAATCAGCGGTCCCCCACCGCTCCCCAAGGGCGCTGCACTACGCAGCAGCACGCTTGCTACGCTAGCGGACACGATCTCGCCTACGCGAGTACCCAACAACCTCGCCTACGCGGGTGACCGATTCCACCAGCTACGCGGACTATGCTGTAAACGAAATGATTAATAAAAACATTTTGGGTCTTGCCGCCGCTGGGACGCATATGAAACTACGCGGAATCACTTCATCACTACGGAAAATAAACCGCTACGCTAATCTTCACCGTCTATGCGGTTCTATACCCCATCTACGCGGTTATAATCAAAACAGAAGGGGAGTAGCAACCTCCGGCTGCTGCTCCCTCCCCCTACGCAGTCTACTTCTACAATCTATGCGGTTCGCTCACCTTCCTCAACTATATTGCTCAAATGATACGTCGCAGTACGAATCCTGATTCCCCCAACAGAAGCCTGGATGGTATTGGTTGTACGTGCACCTTTTACAAGTCATGCGTTAGTCGCCCACAAAACAATCTTCAACTAGTTGCCTACCCCCACACCGGAAACAGCGGCCGTTGTACGCATGAATTTAAATGCGGTCCGACAAGTAGGGGAATTGGCCGCACTGCGCTGAGAAGTTTTTCTGCAAACAGAAAAAACAGCGCGTTCTCTTTGTTGCGATGAGCTCGTCTGCTCGCGTGCGGTATTCCTCGCGAAGTGCCGCAGCGTCCGTGTACGCTTTTGTGCACAAGAGCCGATCGTTATGGTCCTTAATGGGGTAGAACGCCCAGGGCGATATGGCTCGTCTACGGGAAGCATGAGTGGATAAGCTCGTTGACTACGCGGCGAACTACTTCGCTAGGAAGTGGGGACACCGTGTTCCTGCGGCGGCGTGCGTGAACGATAGGGCTCGTTACGCNAAACACAAATGACAGAACACTGAGCTACACCGGGGCTAAGATACGAAGATACGAAGGGGAAGGGGGAGCTACGTGATGGCGACCNACTAGCACTTTCTTCCTGTTCATTTTATAGCGGTAACGACCGCGCTTACTATTACAGTTACTGTATTGTACTCCGTTATTACCGGAGTTATCATTAAAATCCACTGAACCATCCTAACAATATGGCTCTTCTACGGGAAGCATGAGTGGATAAGCTCGTTGACTACGCGGCGAACTACTTCGCTAGGAAGTGGGGACACCGTGTTCCTGCGGCGGCGTGCGTGAACGATAGGGCTCGTTACGCGGAGAAAGACTACGCGGTGAATGGTACGTGTCCCCGAGTACGCTTCTTGCAGAAGAATGCCTACGCGAAGGCAAAGGAGAGCGCCTACGCGAAGGTGAAACCGAGGATCGTATTAAAACCACAACATGGTCATGACGCTATATGCTCATGACAACAGGGTAAAGCTCAAGAGGAAGACCTATATAAGAACTCGTTTACCTACAGCAGTATCCTTTCCAGAGCTACAGACCTGCAGGTTTGAGAAGCAGAAAAAAATCAGAAAGTAGGCGGCAAGCGGCGAAAGTAGGTTATGGTATCCAATCCACGAGTAGTAAGAACAGAAGAGTAATCAGTGAAAATGGACGCGATCGGGAATAACACGAGGATTTCAATTGCTGAGCAGCGCAACGCCGGCGCGCCCTAACGAATTGCATTCATATGCCCACGTGCGGGAAGAATTTTTCAAACTCCAGAACCTTCCACTAAATAAACGCGTTCGTTTGATAGGATCTGCTTTTTACTTTGCGTCTCCATATTCGCATATTATTCTGTTATTGCTACTGGTTTTCGTATATCTGTGTTTCCTCCGAATCTCGACAATGAGGGGACAATTTTTGACTATGCACTGACCTCGGATGGTTGTTCCCTACTCGGTCCTCGCCGGCTTCAACGCGAACTATAAAGGTGAGTAATATTTTTATCAACTCGTAGGGTGATTTCAATCACTGATAGTCTGGATGCATCTTCCCCCTTACATGGATGGCGAACAATTTGAGTTCAGTTGACAAGGTAAGTTCATCAGTATAGGAAGCACGGATGAGGTAGGGAATATTTCACAACGTAAAAACGTCGCACAATTTTACTTTGGCGTGCTTTGCCGGGCACAGCAACGGAGCTGAGTCAGCGTTTGTAGAGACAGTCTTCTAGAACCAAGGATTCGTTCACAATGAAGGAAGTAAGGGCCACATGGAAGAACGGCTCGAGCCGATTCCTACAAGGCTGTGCCTCGGACTGTCAGCCATCCTCGCCACGCGGCTGAGCGGTCGGTGGGCCTGGCAAGAAATTTGGGGTATTTGTTTGATGATGTTTACTACTGGCACAATTCACACATGCATGGCTACGGGTTCGTAATCCGTTGTTGTCCGCCCAGGTCAATCAAGTCTTCCATCCTTCATGGGTCGCTTAATTGGTATCAAACTTGTTTGTGAGGGCAAAATCACTGACTTGTAAATCGGCTGCTCACCCCAAGTCATTTTATGAGCCGCATGCGCATTCAATACGCCACTGCGATTCTGAATGGAAGTCGACTGCGTGGACGAGATTGATTAACGCCCCGAAACTATCCTTTATGTACTTCTTGGACAGTACATCAAGGAAGGGAATGAAAAATGACGCAACGAGACGGAGTTAAGACTTCTACATGAGGTCCCGCGGTGATTGCCGAACGCGTGACGTGCTCTCGACTCAGAGTTCAGACAAGTTTAAGCGACCTAAGCGCGCCCTTGGACTTCCCAGTTGACGAAGTTTTTGCCCTAACGTTGAACTTCTACTCATACGAGTATCTGCTTTATTTTGTTATAGCAAACTATTAGGTTGACGACAAAAACTACCAGAAAAATGCTAAGTTCAGATAAAATGGGGTTGAGGCGAGAGACGACATATTGGTCGCCGGTTGAAGTCTAACAATCGGTGCGTTTACTTCATGAAGACTTCAAACAGCGCACAAATATCGAGCCTGAACCACTGTACTGACCGTATTGCTTTAAACTAATTTGAACTATTCAACACAACTGGAGAATAGTGAGAATCTTTCACTGAAGCACAACTACAAACACTTGTAAATGCGCTGCAGGTAACAGACTTTTCTGAATTATTGCATATCTCAAAACAATTACTTTAAATGCTTCACTACTACTTACACTATCAATATATTATCCACAAATCAAATGTTATCGAATGAAACATGTACAAATCCAGAATGAGGGTGTGTAAAGCAAATAAATACAAATATGAAAATTCACATCACAAATCACTGGAATAAATATTGACCAATAAATTAAGAGAACCATGCACAACTCACAATACAAGAGTCTATCAGCTATGAACACTAACTCAGAACGGCCGAGCAGGAACAAAGGGCCTGGCTGGAACTTGAGGTGCTGTTCCATTGCTGGGTGTTGGAGCCCGTCTGAAAATGAAAACGCAAATTATATTCATTTATTTATTTTATGAATCCTTCCACAATCACAAAGGTAGCCATGAACCAAATAGCTGGCGAAGTTTACAAGACTGGTTGTCTGCGCAACATACTGAAACGTTTGCTGAACAATGTCTGTCAGTTGTTCTAAAAAAGAGCCCAGGAGGCAGTCCATAATGATGTCCAAGGTGCCAAATGAACGCAAAACACAGCATCGCAAATGCTAACGAAAATTGGTGTGGAAAAAACTTTTGAAAAAGAAGTCCAACCTGTAGTCCACAATAGGAAAACAACATCTTCTGATTATTTTCAACTGATTCCTTTATTATTACAAATCTAAAGCTATGCAATCAAGCCAGGCATGCTTAGGACGGAACCAGTAGCCTAAGCCTCCTTTCCCGACATAGTCCCACAATATTGTTCTACGTGCTCAAAAAGAGTATACCCGTACCCTAAGAACTAAGAAAATCCTTAAAAAATGAAGCACTGTAGCAGCAAAAGCATTGCGCATCATGTGGATCACGTGCTACGCAGTGAGCTGGGAAAAAGAGGTTTCAACCGAGGAGGACAAATAAAGACTTCATGCAGAAGGTGACAACCAGTTTACGCTTCTATAAAAAATAAGATAGGAAAGCTCACCGACTTTTTTCTGCATTGCATGGAACACATTATACAGAGAAATATAGGAATAACAAGAAATTAAAAGAAGAGTATTTCTTTAAAAGTCCAAAAATAGTGAGCCAAGTGCTTATGACAAGAAGACCGAAGACAGAGGGATACAAGATTGTGAAAAGATCTTCAGAACTCAATTGAAGAAGAGTAAAACAATGGCGATACAAAAGAATCGAACAAATTTGATTTCAATTGTTCCATGGCAGTTGTGGCATTTTTGCTTGAACTAATTCATTGATTCACGACGATCAATTATGACCTCTGCCAAGCAAAATATTTTTTACAGTAGCTATTCTTTGTGTCTTTCACAACAAATAAATTTGAAAAAGGCCTATTTGATGATAACAAAAAACATTCCACGAGTACAACACACGACAGGGGGATTCCTGAAATAGTACCATACACGCACACATTGACGCTCCGCAAACTGCTAGAGATGCTACAATATTTCACCACGATCACTGATAACGCAAAGCTGACTCCCAGTATCAGGCCGGTCACATCAAAAAACTTCGAGGTATTGAGATAAATATTCTAATCTCTGCACAACATCAGCACCCACCATTCCTATTTTGGATGACCCATTCCTGGTGGTGGTCCACCGGGACCAGGACGCCTATTCAAAATATGAGGAATTAAACAAGAACTAAAAGAAAATTTTAAAAGACTCACGTCGGTATCAGAGGAGGTGGGTAAGCGCCTTGGCCAGGGGGTGGACCTGGGGGTCCTCGATGTGGTGGAGGGCCTCCCGGTCCACCAGGTCCAGGTCGCGGTGGCATTGGGGCATGTCGTCCCCCTGGTGGAGCAGGAGCGGGCCGAGGTACTGGTGACGGTCCTGATGGCATTGGTCTGAAAATCAGGGTCGATTCGCAACACTCCGAAAGGTAGAAAAATAGTAGAAATATCAGATCGAAATATAATAAGAAAATGACAAAGAAAGAAGAGATCACCTGTAGTCACTCGGGGGAAGTGGTGGAGGTGTGTCTCCTAGCGTGGACATATTGACCTCGGATATAATACGGAGAGCCTCCTTGCAAGCGTGGTACATTCGAAGCATTTCTTCCCTCTTTTGGGCTTCTATTTGCGATTCCTCCATTAAGCTGTCCTGGAAAATGATGAATTGCAGAAACTGTGGCAGAGATAGGCCATTTTGAATACCTGTAACTTAGATATCTACAGAGAAGTGTAATCGAGTAACGTTTCAAAGGACAGCAAGCTTTCTGCCATAAATCGGAGCAAAACGGGCCAGAACAATTGTTTGTATGCTTTGTATGGAGTGTGAAAGGAACGTACAAAACTCGTACCTACACAACANTCTGTGTCCTGAATGTGAGCAGACGTTAATGTAACTATGGGCCCCGTAATGCCACTACTTCCAACAATAAGCGTGAGAGGAAATAGGGTAACCTTTCACTAATGCACTAGGTGTCACAAAGCGCTTAGGTAAATCCTTCCCTCATAGTTCTGACTCCCAGAGTTCTCTGCGGGCATTACCCAACTTGATTATTCCAGGATAATCGTCAGGTTACCACCACGACAGGTCTTCCTCTATCTGTCTTCGCCAAATTCATGCGGCTGTAATTCTATGCTTCGCAAACAGCAGGGTATGGGCGTTTCTATAATCAAACAAAGCTTAATATACCAGTCATTTTGAGTCCAACTTAAATAGATCCAATGATGGTTATTTTAAGAGTTTCGTGCATAAATTTGGGTTCTGTGTATGTTCCACTCTTGAAACCATCAATATGGCTTGAAACCTGTATGTATATGTAGGTGGAGAAAAGTGAGAACGTGGCATGACACTGTAAACTTATTCCATTTCAGGGGATACGGGTTGTAAATTTATCTAATTATGGTCGCGAAAGTTCTCACTGCTGGACCTTTTTTCCTGAGCGAAACAGCGATCTGTTGAGCTTTGAAGACTTTTAGTGGTGTCGCAGGCGTTAAAGTAACAAATTAACAACCGTGCTCATTCTAGTGTACATTGCGACCCCTAGTAATACACATATCAAAGGAATTGCAACTTGCTTAACATGTGCGCATACGTTTACAGTTGAAGCCTCACCGTATCTCCGCATTGGTAAATATGAGCCAACAACTCATCGTGCATGAATTGCGTGACCTAAAAAACCAATCTTCGTATGACAACATCATTCCAATCTGCAAACAACTAACCTGTGATACAATGAGATGCATTATCGCTTTCGGAACAAGGTCTTTGATTGTCTTCGTGATGATGCGCATGTATGAGTCCACCAAATTTCGAATAGTTTCCACCTTGAAAACAATTGAAAGAGAGTTTAATCTTACTGGAAGCAAGAGCTGATACCTGACGCTCCAATTGTGGATCCATGGAAGTCTCTTCGACTTCGACTTGATTCTAAAGGAAAAGCAATCAATTAGCACTGTAGGCAGAAAATTGAGTTGAAGGAGTAAGACCCATGCAAACAAAATTGCAAACAAACAAACAGTTTCTACAATTCTACTAAACTACACAGCACAAAAACATGCGAACCAACTACAAAGAAGACCTGATAAGCACACCTCCTAAAAGCGAAATATTAATGATGATTTAATGAACATAGAGGTTTGGAACTGAACGCTCTTTCTATGTAACCATTTATATGAAAACTTGCCTCATCCTCTGCTACTGCTTTCTGTTTTTCAGGATACACGCCGGCTCGGAGGAAAGAGGCTTTCCATGCGTCCACTTCATCGAGATTATTACATCCCAACTCGAGTTGCTTATAATCCTTATAGATATTCCTGAATACCATTTATTTACATTGTTGGCTGCCTTAGTTTTACATGAAGGTAGTGCAGAAGATTAGCAACTTATAGCATGCCACGTAACACCCCACACAAAGGAAAGTGATCCACAGGATAGAAAACTCAGGCTGTCGTAGGAGTAGCAATCTGAGATGTATCAAAAAATCTCAGTGAGTTGATGAACAATAAAACAATGCTTCTCTAGCCTCTATCACTGATCATTGCATACCCAGTGGGTTATGTGTCATACAACGCTTATACCTAGACCCGGATGCTTCAGAAACTACTTGAAAACTATAACGATATGTCTACACTTGCGGGTGGGAATTAAGTTATTATGCAAAACAAGGGAACCCTAGAAATGTCATGCATCTCAATGCAAGAAGACGTTGAATGGTTTGCTTGGTATGGATTTCATTGCTGCATCGCTACCTAGAAAGCTAAATAGTGGAGAGCACAAACTTTCGCAAGCGGTTCGGGGTAAAGGGTGAACGAGCGATCAATGCTAGCACTAATTACACTACAACGATACAACACGACGGCTCATAATTACGCTTACGTAAGGTTAGCGCAATGCTAACAGTACATCACTCACTTCCTGAAATATTAGTCGAATCTGAGGTTAGAAAGTGAGATAAAGCGAAGGCTGACCGAAGGATAAAATTTAGGCAAAACGAATTAGAAAATCGCCACCCCTTTACCAGATTAATTCACATACTCGTTGTTCTTGTTGCAACTTACGTTCTGAAAACGACCAAGGAGAGGTATGGTAGATGGGAAATGCACCAAGTCAGTAATATGAATGCAACAACAAAGCATTGCCTTGGTAATGCAAGCAACAACTGTTCTAGCTAGTTCTTCTAAACTACTTACTTTCCATCCGGATAGAAGAGAGCGAATTTGTGCTGACGAGACATGAAGCCGCTTTCAATATCACGCAATTTGATGCCGTCAAGTGGCAGCATGTACTTCTTCTCCTTCTCCTAAATTAAGCATAAATCCCTCGAAATAGAATTTTCTAAAAAAAAATATCGAGGCCATTTCGAACCTCGTCGTCCTTGAACCAACTCAAACTGTCCGACATCAATACAAACCAACAATCTTTCGACCCTTTGATAAAGGAAATATTGTTGATAGACAGCCATCCTTTTCGGATCACCTGCACCCCAAGATTCTTCTTGGACGAGGCTTGTCCCTGAGATGCTTTCGCTTCAGCACTAAATACAAGTCCTTATAGATGGGACCAATAGGAATTTCACTAGAAAAAGCTCATACATAATGCAGTCGTGAAATAAGAACACTAGCTAGATTATATATGTGAACTTTCGAGATTGAAAGACTTGCCAAAAACATATGATCAAATTGAAAACCTTGATGAGACATTATAGATAACAATCATAACACTCTGAGCTCTTCAGTCAAACCATCTTGAATGTTGCATGCGTATTTCCCAAAAAATCAGAAGAAGCAGACCGTTATTAGAAATTTGCGTTCACTGTGTATGGTCTTCCACGAAACATTTCACGACCATATAAACTATTGCAGAGCTAGCAATTCCCTTCTTTACTTCCTATTTTGTTCATTGTTACTACAACGCCGATTGAGAAAGGATTGTTAATCACATCAGACCAACAAAAAATTAAGGACTTGTAGGCTAACTATTCTTTTAAGAATGACGGATCGTGTATACGGTAATATGAAATGACAGCGGCTTTGGTATTAATAATGGTAGAAATTCCGGCAAAAAGGTAAGTGTAGGCAAAAATAGAAAAACGTACTTGCTGAACCCGATGAAGTCTTCATGATTCGTGTTCATATAGGCAAGTTCGTAATCAACAATAAGTGAGATTTGATTTTTTGCGTATTGCTCCTTTTCGCGAACTCTCGTCACAACTATACGTTCTATTTCATCCCGTAAACGTGGATAGCGCGATAGCTGAAAACCTACTATTCATGTATGGGCAAGTGAGCTACGCATATTTTCGGCTAAATCAGAAGCTTTTCGTAGAACATGAGAAAAGGAATTAATGCTACTACAACAATTGAAAAGCAGTAAAATTTTAAGTTCCACATCAATATTCGATGGATGTTTAGCCATAATATGAAAACAAAGATGAAAAGATTGATGGGCCAGGACCCCAATAATCTACCCTTACTATACATACGCAACGATTTTGAAGAACTCGGTAGGATTTAAGTAAATGAGTACTGTGGAACTTACACATTCCGCGCATTGTCTTATGACGTTGGCAAGTTCATTCACAACAAGGTCCACACATTTCAATGACGGTTCCTTCAATCGTGCGATCTGTTTCTTTGCGATAGCCTCAAATGCCATATCCGGTGTGAACAAGCCGACTCTGTAATGAGTTAGGTGAGAAGCACACTACATCCATGACCTTAATAGCAAAGAGTATTACATAGAACGCACGTACCTGATACCATGAATGTTTCGAATGGCGAACTGTATTTCTTTTCGCATTTCCTTCTCATCAATCTCCATTTTCACAATTTCAAATGGGAAGCGTTCATGGAAGAGTCTGAACAAGCGAAATTTGCGGAAACACCTAGATTGCTTTCCAACATATGTTTGGAAACTTCATAATTTCTTGATTGTTTGGAAATGAATATGAGTAGATGCATAACCATCAACTCACCGGTTGATACGGGCACCTCCACTGAGCTCATTTGTCGAAACAAGTTTCGCAGAGGAACCTTCGATTGATCTCTCAATATCAACCGTGAATTGTTGAACCATCCTGACATGTAGGGAATTCAGAACAAATCAAGACGAGACCGAATTATCTTCACTCACTGGAGAAGAGCTTTAGTTTTGCGGCCAGGATCGTTTGGTTGGAAATTCTTATACTCAGCGACGTCCTTTTCCAATGCAAAAAGTTTCTTTTGTAGACTGTCTCGGAGGGTTGGCAGTGTATCTCTGCAATAGCCTTTGTCCTAGAAATTAAATAAACCTGACCACCATTACCATTAATTTCAAATAAACAAAATTATTCTCGCTCTCAAATGGCTGCATGACAATGTTTCAAAGTCCACCGTGTAGTGACAACATCGCCTACCCGTGCCTGCCGCATTGTTCATTCTCTTACGTCATTACTAGCACAAAAATATGTGAATACCTGATGTGATTTGTTAACTGCTGATTGAGTGTGTGTTGAAGAAACTGGGTGCCCAAGCGATCCGCCATATGCCTAAAAATGAGAGAAAAACGTTGTCAAAAAAGTATAAGTGCAGCCTACGATAAAACAAAAATGAACCTGTAGGCGGGATGCGATAAAAAGAATTTTCTCTCAGCATCCAGGGCAGCGCGTATATCTTTCTTACCAACAATGTCTTTTTGACCCCGGTTGACTACTCCAACATAACCTGAAACATCAAAGATTTCACAGTCGGAACAAAGCCTGCCCGTCACTCTAAAGTGTTACTCATGGGAACCGCCAAACAATGATATTGCTATACAAGCGAATGTTCGAGTTCAAATTAAAATCCAAAATCCAAAAAAGAACAACAGCTCGATGTGAATACTTTTGATGTGTGAAACTGTTCGAATGAGAAACTTCTGATATTTTCCACAAACCCAACAAGAAATTGAGGCTCAAGGCTAGTCAAACAATGATCTTAACACATCGTATGCCAAGAAAAAAACGCTCGTAATGCTTCAGATTTTCATACCGCTCATATCCAAAGGCTGCTTTCAGACCTCAACGATTCATCCGTCCGTCCGTCCGTCCGTCCGTTCAGCGCGTGCNGCACGCGCTGAACGGACGGACGGACGGACGGACGGACGGTCGTCGAACTCTGAAAGTAGCCAAAGGCTTTATCAACCCAAAAGTGAAGGGTCTACTTGCGCGGCACTGGTAATCGCATATACCGCCTCCTTGCCAAATTTCCGCGGACTTTGCATGTGACAGCTTTTACTAGTATATGTATTGGAACCTTGTTCGAAACCAGAAGATTTACTCGCGCTCGCCAAAGTTTTGGCCAACTGAAGAATAGGAGTAATCCTGAGGAAACATCCGAGCGCAACGCCAAAGGATATCAATAGCTCTTGAGGATAGTCTCTCACTCTCACTTTCGAGAAAGTTGTTTCCCCACAATATTGTGATTTCATTTTCTCGCAACATGTGGCTTTATTCATCAAAGAAAAACTCTCATCCCAGAGATTAGATTATTTTCGCAGATTTTCTCCGATCAATGCTTTGGTGATTATAACAAGATCCCATCGAAATCATCAAAAAAGATGTAAAACTCAAGAAGGATCTGACTTTGTCTGCAGAATCAAGTAATAAAAAAGAAAGTCAACAAACCTCGACGGAGTGGAAAAAGACGATTTTCTAAAATATCGCGAGCATCAGTGCCCTCATCCATGAGATCCAGTTTTGTCAAGACTCCAATGGTGCGCAAGCCTTGGGGATCAACTTCCTGGAAGAAACTTTTGTTGTGGAGAAGTAGCCATTCGTAACACTCTGCCAAACACAGTACCTTCGCCAACTTCAAAGCATCAGATGTGGCGAGGTCACTGTTAGCCGGAGTAACTGCCAAGATAAGGCAAGTTTCTCTGCTGATGAAAGTTAAAATCATTTCGCGGATCTGATGCTCGATGTCTGGCGGCTGATCACCAACAGGTACTTTTGTCAGTCCAGGAAGATCGATTAATGTTAGATTGAGCACTGAAATAAAAAAAAGAAGATTTATATCGAACACCAACAAATTAAAAAGCAAGATTAACAAAATTAACAGCATTAAAAACAATGGTAACATCCAGGAAATACTAGAAAATCAATCAAACGTTGAAAAGAACCCAACTTTTAGGCGTCAACAAAACTCAGGTTTGGTAAACGTAATTGCCTGTACCTAAGTAATTCATATCACCTGAGAACAGGTAGTTACGTTTTAGTTAACAAATATAAGTGTAAAAAGGTTATCGAAACCATACTAACCGTTGGGACTGAAAACTCGCAAATTGATTGGATGCGGTGATATCCCCTTGTTCAAACCAGTAACTCGATCAGTTTCATCTTCGATCTCCTTACGGACAGCATCGAAATCCGAGAAATATGTTCCTTTCTTGTGCAAGAATTCAGCATACTCTGTAAAGGTGAAATGAAAGAGAATTAGTTCCACCAAACACAACAATGCACGAAATCCTACGCACCATTTCTATCCTGAATTAGTTGCAAAATGAGGGGACGTCGAGTGACGATGCCCGAACCACGAGGCAAGAAATCTCTGAAAACCGACTCAGCATTAGTCTAAAAGCAGTTGCACCATATATAAAGGAACCTTCGTTGCCTAACGACGTTGTTTATGGTTACCATTGAGAGAATGCGAGGAGAACTTTCACAATTCTCGTTTCACATTTTCAAAAACTGTCATTCATGAGCAACGGACGGGCATAGATTGTTTGGAATCCTCAGAACGGGGCTTGTCTAATATTTTATAGCATATCTAGACTTTAAAAATTTGTTGACGCACAATTTTATGTTCAAAACAACATCGACTGAGAGTCCAATGGAATCTGGCGTGATGTCGCTACATGTTCAGTACAGCGATCTGTCAGGAAAGAGTACTAGGCATCGATACGACTTCGGGATGTTGTGTAAATCAGCTCATTTTCCTAACAAAGCATCATAATATGTGAGTCTTTAAAAGATCCCAGTGAAAGCAAGGAATAGCAGATGTACAGCTGTGCCCTAGAATTTCAACTTCAGTGTGACTACGAAATGTTATTCACAGAAGCAGAAACGTGGAAGACGCCAACAACATTGGATACGTATAAATCTGGAGAAGTTCGAAATCGTGGAAGCATGAAATTAGTAATACTTATCAGTTAGACACCGATGTGAAGAAACATGGAAGCGTGCAAAAGCAAAGAGCAAAGCAGTAACGCTTAAACGATAGGACACGTGCCATAGCTGAAACGGGGATACGTTTACCTTTGAGTCGAGCTTTTTCTCAACCAGATTTTCGTTCCGAACAGGAATAGCAAAGTACCCAAAGAATCTTCATTCACTTTAATTAGTTAAAGGCTGTTTACAAGCTATGCTAACATGTCGTTGAAACCCAATTATGAGACAAAAACTCACATTCTCTCAGAAGTGAAGTTTTGAAGCGTTAATCTGATTACGAGAAGGATATTCAATCTTCTAGAAGTCATAGAAAAGGTAAGAGCTTAATCGAATCCCTGTGCTGTGAAATAGGGCAGGGAGCAACGAGAGGAACTTCCAGATAAATGCACCAAAGATGTTTCAGTTAACGAATTAGTTCGCAAGCAATTGCCCACAACGATATTGTCCAAGCAAGTTTAAGCTGCTTATGTCGGATTGCTTTTGCTTCTGCAGTTGCGCATGAAATATCTCTATCCATGTTGTTTTGCTATGTGTAATATTCCATTCCGTAGCTGAATTGGAGCGCGAAGGAAAGCGACTATATTAAATCACGCTACTGGCATTGTGATGCGTTCCATTGTTTGGCAGATTCTGCCTTTGGACCGTATAACGAGTCCACGAATATGCAACTTATAAATAACAGCTTCATCCAGTTACCGTGCTAACTACCATCATACTTTAAGTCAAGCTTCAAAATATTTCATATTCCTAGTGATCAATAGTGAATCACAGCTAAACACGATCGAAACAGAAATTCTACGGATTGAGATGGTATATAAAAACCGAATGTAAGTTATCCAACATACTATAAACACATCAAGGGCTTTGAAACGATGTAACTATACACTCGCACACGTACGGCAATAATCCACGAAGACCGAAAAAATTTAAAGTTGAGCCAAAGAAAAAATAGTTCTACTGGAAGAAGAGCTCACCTTCCCACGAAATTTTCCAATACTGATGATTTTCCAGCACTCTGTCCTCCAACTACAGCGATTTGGGGCAATTCAAAATTTACACTAGTCCCTAATTGAGAAAACGCATCCTGGAAAAAATGAATGAAAACGATGTGATGTGGCAGTGCTGGTATTAAACAATGTACAACTATGACTATAGAAAAGAAAGATGGCGAAAATATAATCGTCTTACCTGTACCCTATTGATAACAGGGATCAGAGCTTGCATGCCCTGATTGACCCACGCCATTTTCCGTTAATTTTTCTTTTTCGAAAACGTCCAAAACAACCCGTGGTGTTGGAGCGGGTCTGAATATTTGTAGATTCCAAAAAAATTGAAAAAATGAAGCGAAGTGGCTATAAAGAAACGACAACGATTAACAGAAAGGAAACAATCTCTACAATAAAAGGAGAGCATTAACGGATATACGAAATCTATCCAGGATAACTTCACTAAACCCAACGGCAGATGCTTAACGTCAAGTGAACATGGGAATGAGAGTATAATTGGAGTGAAGCATAGTTCTGGACTGTCTAATCCTCTACCCGAAAACAAAATCAGGTAATTAATTCCTCATGCTAACCAATGAGTCATGCCAACATTTAAAAATACAGGCGATATTTCAACGCGTGTCGCACGCGTGTTTTTGATCGGAGCGCGAAGTCAACACTTTTGCGTCCAACGGTCCCATTTTTTCCTCGATTTTCAAGACAAAGGTGACCTTCTGTGTTCTTTTCGTTAATCTTGACGCTGTTCGATTTCATAGGCTACAAAAACCTTCTTCATCTGCTAGTTTTGCTGACTTACAAACAGGACTTTTACACCCTGAAAAACGGTACTCCTCCCTCGAGGGTGTTAACTCCGCACATAGGAATCCGCTGATTTTGCTTCTTTAATAGCCTCTGTATGGTTTCTATGAACTGGACTGAATACTGAGCAATCGTTTTCTTGCCACTCGTTAGCAGGGTTCAAAGTAATCGATGCGCAACAAAGAACCGATGTTTGGGAATCCCCATGAGTCACCCGTGTGGTGTTTAACAGCTCATTCATACTCTGTCTTCCAATTTTTTTTTATCAACTCTTACTTATCACGTTGACTGTTTAATGTGTGATCGATTGTTGATAATTAGGAAATTTTCAGTGGGTGCTATATAATACACAAAAGCATATATTCAGTATGGATAAGAACTTCAAAGAAGTAAAAAAAAGCAGACTTTGTGCCCGGATTCCCACGGTCGCAGGCTCGCACGCAGCAGTAAACACGCGACAATTTCCGTAATCGCCCGGTGGAAATAAAAATCGTACCCCTAGACTGTGCGCCCCGACATGCAGACTTTGCGTAGAACTCAGGTACGTCGATAGAGTTTGGAATGCTATTTACAAATTTAAAAATTAAAATCACTAAATGAGCCCACCAAAACGATGTGAGCGCTCAAATTTGGCTCGAGTTGGTGTAGCTGCGCTGTTTTTGTTCGCCTATTTTCAGCAATAGGCATAGGCTCATCTAACATACTCCGATAACGAAAAAGTGCTATGATATTCACATTTAATACAAATCGAGCATGTGCTACTGCTAAACGGCAACATAAACAGCAAAACATAACAGCATTCGTAAAAACAAACGAATCAATGCACAAATAATCACCGTCAAACGATAGGATTCGCAACAATGGTAAGGATAGCAATAAATTTGGACATCGTCGAAATTTTTAAAAAAGTACTTCAAGGAATAAGTGGATTCTACCGGACAAGTAAAACATGATAAAATTGGAAAAATGAAAGTTCCGATTCAGTGAAACTCGTCCCAGTTCACTACCGTGGAGATAGAAACTTGGTATAAAAGCTACTAGGTCATAAAAGAAGTGAGGATTAGTTTCAAATGGAGAACGATAGAGAATGGAGAATGAAATGAATAGTAAAGTAATTCTTGAGTAAGACGGTTCTGTAGCATAAGCAGCAACACATTAAATAAACAATTGCAACCGCATCCAGACGCCCCGTCGCATTCAGACTCCTCTCTAGCCGGCTTTGGCCGCAGCCGCCCACTTTTCAGTGGTCGCGTGACGCACCGATTGACTCGGCGCAGTTAATCGATATCACAGAATTTGATGAGTTACTTCAGACTAAAGGGTGATTTAGGGGCTACATATTATCTGTTGACTTCGTTTTTTACTTACCAGTTGCTATTACACTGATTGTTCTATGGGTGGCTGAACTTCTTCTCGTGAGTGATTGCTTAATTAACTTGATGCAATGAAATCTTGCCCCCTGACCAAGTTCTTCAGAGCAGAAAAAAATGTATTCAGCCACAAACTAAGCACCAGTGTAATAGCAACTGAGAAGCGAAAGAACAGAGAAATTGTGAACTCGAGAGCCAAAAAAAAAATCATCGAAATCGCGTTTTCTCGTACCCTTTAGTCAACGAAAGCCGCGCGCGACGCGGCAAGTGTTACTGCAAAAGCAAGCTTCGGAAGGTTACGTGACCACCTCAACCTTCTCTGCGTCCCTGACAGCGAAAGGTTAGAGCGCAGAGAGAAATACTCTAGGTAAAGGGCACGAGAGGGTGGGGAGGGGGTGTTGGAGGTCCCATTGGTGAGACTAACACAGCAGTTGAAGACTGGATCAAACGGAAGTACGACAGACAAACAGACAGAAAATAAGCGCTGTCGCCACAATCGAAGAGACCGAATTCGAGTAGTACGTAGGCCGCTTAGGAGTGTGGTCACTTTTACAGTAACAATTGGTGTTGCAATCAAGGAGGCATTGGGGCTCAGAGCGCAATAAGAGGTTCCATGCAAAATAAAGCGACAGCTACGATCCGCTCTCAGCTCACGGCAATTCCTAGCTAGTTGTCTCGCCGCGCGGCAAGCCGTCCGGAAGCGGGTGTGGCTACCTGGACACCACAGCCGATCGCGTGCTGTAAAATGGGAGAATACGAATTTTCAGTGAAGAGTTGCAATGATTACCACAAAACCGCTGCCATGATAATTCGGATATAAATGCCGTCACCCTTTAGAACCAAAGCCCATTACACTTTTTTGGGGCGGTAGGTTACCTCATTCACTACGAAGTAATCGATATTATGGAAAAAAAGTTGAAGAACCATCGCTACCACCGAGCATGTGACGTCGCCTTACTGGCAGCCTTGCGATGTCGATAGATATGATCGCTTCTGTGGGAAACTGAGCTTTTCTCGCATGCATGATTACAATTATGTAACACAGAAAGAATTGAATGCTCTTGAAAATTTCAAAAAATTCAATTTAAATTTAATTAAAAATGAAAGTGGCGACAAATTGGTTAATTACGGTATTAGTCAAAAGTGGAACGATTCAGAACATGGCGATTAAAGATCGAACAAAAGCAATTATTCATAGGAACGGTAACAGATGTCAACGTTTATGAAGTATCGGCCAACCGGTTGAAAGACAGCAACAACTCCTTCCTATCTTACTTGATGAAATTGTTTTACAAAAACAACGGGGCGATGATGGAGCTTTGCGTGCCCTCCGTAGTGTGAGGTCGGGAAATTGGAAAAAATCGATACTTTGAAAATTGAGGAAACCCCAGGAACAACTGGTATTGCTTCTACAACAGAGGGCAAAAGATTGTATAAGCAATGGGCCAGAAATTCCCTATCGGGAGAATCGTAATGTTGGGTCATTTTCCTGTGAATTTACATACACGTAAAAGAGGGGATCAGCTGCAATCGTTCATGTGTATATCGACCGATCATGGGGAATCCATACGGGCGATGTCGAAGTGTTTATGTACGTGACATTGCAGTCTATGGGGCTGTAGTGATGACGTGGACGCTTATGGTACGTTTCCTGGATCGTTTACCCAGTCCCTTCCCTCTGTGGGGAGTGGGGGTGGGAAGAAATTATTGGAATATTGAATCAAGAGTATAAGAAGGATGGGACGGACGGGGAAGAGAGGAGGGGGGGGGGGGGGGGGGGGGGGGGGGGGGGTGGGCAGGTGACCCCACAAGATTCACCATCCTGCTTTTGGAGCCTCTTGCATCTAAAGAGATGGGGTAATGGTAGGGAGGAACCCGATTCTCCTCTGCTACTACTACTAACCTACATGAAACTGCGGTCCCAGACATCGTACAGTCACGTCACCTGAATTTCGAGGTGGAAATCGCATGTTTTCCTAAAAGCGAGCATGAACTTTGCATAAGAACTAGTCTATGAGTCACACAAGGAATTGACACAGCCCGACCCCGGTCGATTGCTATAAAAGGGCTGGGGCAATTCGTCACCTTAATGGGTTGCAATGGTGTTATAGTCTCCTGAAAGGATGTTCACACAGGAGTGCACTGTACATAAGAGGTACGGAGTACACAATAGGCTCTTTTCAATCGCACCTACTGGCGGTCCATTCGATACAGTAAGGGTCTGCCCTACTGTCTTCCGTTTGTGAAAATATCAGCATCATCAGACAATTTGTAGACTGAGAATCAAAAAGTTTTTTTTCGAATTTGGAATTCGTAAACGGTCGCAAAGAAATTTTCAAGTCTTGGAGGCATCAACAGTTCATATAAGTAAGCAAGTCTAGGGGCATATTTTAGAGTAGAGCGTTGAGCGCCAGTGCTCTGCTGACAACGCTAGTAGTCGATCGATACTGCATGTGTGGGAGGCGGGCTATTTCTTGATCAAGTTTTTGCAGTTGCTTTATTGATTTTTCTTTCCATTTTTTGGTATTGTAATATATTATGTAGATCTCTTATTTTCTTTCTTGATTTCTATGGTATAATGTAAGAAAAAAAAATATTATCACCAAGACCTATGCGCAGCTCTGCATCGAAAATAATACGCCCCAACGCAAACACCGTCACAGGCGGGGTCGGGCGTTGCCGTGGCTACGAACGCTCAGCGCTCAACGCTAAACGCTCTACTCTGAAAGAGCTGACTCTGATCCAATTAGGTTTATCATCACCATGATGTTTTTTTTTTTTTGAGAAGAACAAAAAAGCCGGAATCCTTCAAAATGAGGCCCCCTTTGCAGAAGATTCTGGAAAGTAAAGAATTCGGAAGGCCTGGGCGCCAAAAAATTTCTTAGGCACTTCTTAACCCAGTTCTTTGAGGGCGTTATTTCTACTGCCGCAGTTTCGGCCTCCCAATTATCCAGTGGTGCTCAATGGTCGGTCTGGATTTCTTCGTCGACAAGTTCATTTGAAATCGTCGTGGAAGGTGGAGGGGTCATGAACTGGGGAGAGGTTGGCACCCAATTTTCTTGCCATCTGC